AAGCACTCTTGAGCAACACACAAAGAACAGAGTGCACAAAATGAAACAAAAAGAGAACAGAGAAGGGGAAAAACAAAATAAAAATAGATGTCATTTACTACCTACGTCTAGCCTTCAGGCTCATACACTGTATGTTCACACAACCAATAGAAGCGCAGGGCTATTAATGTTCAATTCATCCAAGCTCTATATGGAACACACAGTTTATCAGCAATGCTGGCTACTAATGCAAGCACAGACAATAAGTCATGAATCATAAACAGTCCAGAAAACCAGCTGCATTTGTAACAGATAGCACCTACACAGAATAACAAAATCACAGCGAACATTAGCAGAGCGTACGGTGACCATCCATACAGACGACCAGACATTTAGAGAGCCAACTTAGACTGCGAGTATAAATTCAGTTAAGGAAGTCTTTGACACCACCATAAGTGAATATTATGACAAGAAATTTATTTTTCAACAAAGAAGTTATTCAATTCATGTAAGCCTACACCCACTCCTCTTTTGAGCGTCTCGCCGCTATATTCTGGAGAACCTTCTCCACATTTATCGTGAACATTTGAAGATATCAGTGACTCAGTGAAATCGGTTAATATAGTGCTTTTTATCTAGAGAAACGCAGCTCCCCAGTTTACTGTGTTTACAGGCCAGTCTTGCCCTGTCCAATATGGCGACCACGTCGACGTACGATCCGGCGGCCAATGCGTCGTCAGTGTATATATGTCTATGGGCGAGACGATCTGTGCTGTTTGTCTGGGAGGATGCTGCATGCTCGGATGCGAAATGTCCCTGATTGCAGCCGCAGCCGGGCATTCCTGTAGTGCATGGCAGCACCCGCTGCTGGGTGCTCCGTTTCTACATAAACAGTTGATGTATGTGGGCATTGCTGTCATGTGCGACAGGAACGCCCCTCCGTGGCTGCAATGAGATTCTGCTCGCATGTTCGTCCATTCCTCCACTCAGCCAATCACAAATCAACCCAGTCTCACACGGCCCCTCCCCCCAGCTATATGGCTGTGTCACTACCTCTCCATTCCTTTCTCTCTCCCTCTGCTGCCTCCCTCCATTGAGTAATGCGCCTGGGCTAAAGAGGGGAATGAGAAGATAGGGGGTAGATAAAAGAGCAGAGTGTGATTTTAGCTGAGAATTCACAGAGGCTTCGGATGGAAAAGCATCCGGGTCTTTTATGCGTAAACCCTCATGTGAGTCAGATGCCTTTTCTTTTTTTTTTTTCTCTTCATATCTTTCTTTTCTTTCTCACGGTCTATCACTGCCTCTCTTTTATTGTGTCTGTACAGGATGTGTGTCTTCCTCGTTGCGGATTTATTCATCCCCGCCTTTGCTTTCTGCATGTTTCCCTGCCCCCATACCATAACGTTGGCTGCTGATGCTGTCTTGTGATGCTTGAGTAGAAGTCATGGTGTGCTGAATTAGATTGAGGGTAAATCACAGGATTTAGTCCTGGAGGCTTTTTTGTGTGACCTGACACATGAGAGCTTTGACTGGCTCACAGATGATGAAGTAACTTGTGTTAAGTTGCCATTCAGTTGGTGCTGTAGATTTGAGACTGTTTTAAAGGACTGCCCAAATACTGAGTGTTTATGTCTGATTATAACTAGTACAGTTAACAGCATCAAATTAACATTCAACAATGATGATCAACAAAAGTAATGATTTTACAGAGCTAAAACTAAGCAGCAGTGCTTCTTCCAGGGAAACATCAGCCCTCACACTAAATGAAAAGAAGGCAGACACAGCGAGAGAACTGTCAGCAACATTTGAACCATAACAGCCCTTAAAGGTGTCTGAGTAAATACGATGGGGAGCAGATGGTAAGACGTTATAAAGCCCAGTCATAATTCACTTCTGTGTTTGCACTCAAAATTATTGATTAATTATTGAACGTAAGAAAGAAAAAAAAAAGATCAGATTGAGTGGGCAGGCTAGTGTTGACTGATGGCTTGTTAGCTTGTTTAGCATGTAAACCAACTTCTGTTAAATGCAATGAAGCGCACAGTGTTTTCTGGTTTGAAAAATGAAATATTACAGGAAGTATTCGTGTTGTATCTCTTCTCTTTAGCACTTGGCAGTCTGTAAAAATATATTTTTTTAATATTTATTTTGGAATCCGAAGGATCTTACCTTTCCACTGTTTTCAACACACAATTGTCACAGAAACATTACTAGGTCCAACCCAGAAACATTGCCATCACGACTCAGGTGCTTATTTGAGCATGAGACCAACATGTTAAATTGACACTCATTACCTCTACTACTTACTCCTCAGTGTCTACATATGTCAGCTCTAACTTGGAGATGAGGAAACTGAACTTGTGTCTTGATGAGTGTATGCTGAACCTACACAGGTTGGAAGTACTGCCAAAGTCCCTGTAAGTTGGGTCATTATCAGAATTCCTCCATGCTTACTTGAATGTATTCATTCAGGGCCGTTGCCCACTGTCTTTTTTAAAACCTGTGTTTTGACGCCCAAAGGGTGTCCAACAACCTGTTCCCATGATATCCAGAGTGGGACCCGGTGTCAAACATGAGTCCAAGCTACATATGAAATGGGCTGAAATTAAAAGTGTCCTTACCTCTGTGGTTCAACATGGCACCATTTTTTTAAGCTACTCCACATAGGCACAGTCCTTTTTAAAAGAGGGAAGGTTTTTTGAGTTGATTTGTTCTTTGCTCTGAATAAAGGGGAGGTGTGGTGACAGTTCGTTGACCTTGAAATAAAACTTACAGAGAAACATCATATTTTGGTATGCTTTTCTTAACAAACGCCAACCAACAAAAGCAAAAAATAAATGGGGCAACTCTGAAAACAACAAGGCACCTGTCATTGCTGTTTAAGGAACAGCTTTATGTAGAGATTGGAACAGGCAGTTGGTTGGCCTGGGAGGGTAAAAGCCGATGGATTTCAAACCATGGAAAACATGATGGGAATTTCACATTCGAGCCACCAAAGTGGGGAACCCCTGTTTTTTTTTTTTTTTTTTTTTTTTTTTTAAATCTTGGTTGTTACCTCATTCTGAATTGTCATGAACCGGCCAATTCCTATTCCCAAGAAGCGAAGGTGGGAATGCAGCTCAAGTCCCATTTAAATTCTAATCTCCCAGGGAAAGTGGTTGTAAATTTTCCAAGCCAACCTCCAATCCCGCTCTGGGAATTTGAGATCCCTGTGAATTTAACGAAAAATTGGCTTCAAACAGTAACTTCTGTTTCCATCTGGAAAAAATGACACCTGAAGTGGTTTGGTTGTCCTTTTAATTAAGAAATTTAACTTTGAATGCTTAAAAAATGGTGAAAAGTTCAGCTGTCCATAAAGCAATTCACAGCACAAAGATTGGCAGCCATGTAATTTGTTGAATGAGGAATTTTATTTTTTTTTAATGGAGGGAGCCCCTCAAATCACTGAAAAACCTTCAACACCATTTGAGGGGGCGAAAACACCAAATTACATTTACCCAATAATACCAAATAATACAAGTATTCATTTAAGTATGTTCTTCGTTAAAGATCCAAGTTCCTTCACCTCCGTGTCATGTTAACCAGAAAGGTGTGCCAAGGGTTGGGAGTGTGACCATTTTCCTGCCGAATGCCCAAGGCACTGTCCCACAGCAGGTTCCTGCCTTCGGTAAAAAACGGTGGGTCCAAGCATTTGGTTCTTTTATATTAAAATAAAACATTTATTTAGTGTAGTTTCCGTGTTTTTCTTTTCTAACAAGCACTGGACAAATATTGGAAGGCCCAAAAGTGGAAGACCTGTGGTTGGGTTTAGGGTATGGGTAAATAATGTTATATTTGTGCTTTTACAAACTCATTTACTGATCGACGCTCTTAATTGTTCTTGGTTTTTTCTTAAGGAGCTTTTACTTTAATAAAGAACACCAAAGGAGCAGAGGAAAGATGGAGAGGAAAGGACAAGAAACCAGAATCTGGTATGATTTTTGAAATTCTATAGTTGGAGTATATGTGAAACAATTATCAATTCTCTAGCCTGTTTGAGAAAGCCAGAAAAAAATACTGAGATGGATATAATTCCTGCACCTAGTGGAATAATTTAATTTTAGTGATTTGTTATTTTGGGAAATAATTAACACATATCTATTTTGTTCAACTAATGTGTTGTTGTGTGTGTGTTTTTGGTGTTACTCTTTTTTTTATTGTAGTTGTGGAGAAGAGGTTGAGGGTTGGTGGCCCCGTGCAACCCTGCAACAGAGGCGGACTTACTCCAAAGCTGGGCCCCCATTCCATGTTGGGATTCAAATCCCACCCTGAAAGAGTTTGACTGGAAGTTCCATGTGCTTTGCTCACATCTCATTGATGACTTACCGGTAAAACAAGGGCGGCCTCTAGAAAACTTTGTTTGCAGACTCCCAAAAAGCCGAGATAAAAGCCATAATGATTATTATTACACAATATAACCATACCCGCAAACCACAGTCCTATTGGTTTAAGAATTTGCCCATTCATTATGAAACTATTAATTCTTCATCAAAAGCTTTTCCTTTTATTATTAATTATTTTTCCCGAAACTCTGCAGGAATCACTTTTCCGTATGATCCGAGCAGGATGAACCTTCGACCATCGGCTCCCAAGCCCACAACCATTGTGAAGAGGAAGAGGAAATGAAAGGCAGCCATGGGTGGAGAGTGTTGGGCCCCTTGGCACTTGTGAAACTTCCCTGATGTCCTACAGAAAGGCTGCACCCCTGGAAACATCCTGGTCATCCATGGTGACCCTTTTTCGGACCGCTCTAGCTCTAGCAACTGATGGCAGCGCTGATGAAAACATTTAAGAATCTCAACTGGAGGGAAGGGAGAGGGAGGACAGGGCTTTCGAGCATATAATTATTTTATCTCGCACCACAGAAGTAGTCCTGGCTTATTGTAAAGCAAGGGGCGGCTGTGGCTCAAGAGGCCGAAGCGGGTCCCAATTTGGAAGGTTGTTGGTTCGATTCCCCGGCTCCTCCTCCCACGTGTTTTGAAAAGTATCCCTTGGCCAAAGTACTGAAACCCCCAAATGTCCCAATGCATGCATCTGTGTGAATTGTTATGTATGAAGTTTTAGTTTTTCTGTTTGATGGACTTTGCCATCGGCTTGTGGTAATGTGTTGTTGGAAAAAAGGGTGAAATGGTGGGCAGTAAGTGTAAAAAGCGCTTTGAGGTGTTCGAAGACTAGAAAAGGCGCTATACAGTTAAAACAGGTCCCATTTCACCATTTAGCCATTTTTGTAACTTATACCCAGTGTTAGTGTATACTTTTTAAATGTACCTTTTAAAAGTTGGCACAGAAATAAAAACAATGGAAGCAAACACATATACCATAACTTTAGTCCTTTTTCTTATCTGACCCCTGTCCCGTAGGAACTTCCTCCCTTGGTGTTTGGCAGTATTTTTTTTACCCAAAAATGTAACAAATACATTTAACGTCTTCTTTCTCCTCCCCTGTCCTGATATTCCCAGGTGAGTGGTTACGAATTTCGAATGACTCCAATCCGCCAACCCCAGTCAGTAAACTGGCCCATTAACAGGACGCTTGCTGCACACCGCATGCAGAGCAAGCACCTTCATCGCCCAAATGTGTGAGGACCACTCTCGCATTCTTGCTGGCTGGCTGCCCTTCCATATGAATAGCCTGCTGTCCCCAACGCATCACAGAGAGGAACTACATGGATATTATCAAGAGCTGGCTGGGTGCGTGGAGATACTGTCCAGGGGACAGAAATCTAATGGAAGGACATCCAGAGTATATTGTTTTATGTTTGTGGTTTTTATTTCATGTTGCAGGTTGAACAAGGTTTGGAAGGATATACTACATAGTGGCTTTTTGCAGCACCCAGTTTTACCCACTGAAAAAACATCCAGAGTCCATTAAGAATAATATGGAAGCCTTGATGTTGGGATCCCTGTCTTCCTTCCAACAAAAGACCTCCCATACCCTCTTCCCTAACATGTGAATGCGGTTTGTTGGTTTCAACTAATTGCTTTTAGTTCCTTCCCCCTTGTTTCCTCCCAGGCTCCATGTTGTCTGTGGTATGTGAGTGTTTTTGGTTATAGTAAGTAAGTAGTAGTAATAAAAACTAAGCATCATAAGGATAGGGCATTTTTGGGGATTTAAGATTTGTTGGTAATAGTTGATTATAGTGATTGAATAAAGCATCTGTTGTCCACTTGACCTCCCCTTACTAGTAAACAGGAAGTAAAGAGATGGTGCGTGTGATTGCGAAGAAGGTATCCGTATCAGCAACCCCCAATTTCCGGGGCCAGTGAAGCACATTCCCTCTTTTGAGCAAGTTTCATCCAGCTGGTGTGGCCATGCCGGCTGCATGATTGGAAAACAGCAAGCCTGTGGGGGTACGAGAAAGCCGGTGCCCCTTTGGTAACGCCTGGTGATTAAAACCCTGGGAAACAAAGGCAGAATGGGCAGAGAAAACAGGTTAAGCGAAACAAGATCATAATTTACGAAGCTGCCCTTTGTCCATAGTTGTTTTTTGGAAAATTTCTCCCCACTTTTGAAGAATTGGCTCAGAATTAATTGACTAAAAACTGATGACAAAATTATCCCCTCTCTCAGGTTGAAACACCGTTTCTACAATGTCAGAGATGCCGACCCACCTCAGAACAAGATCTACCCGCCTACCACCGCTCTGGAGCTGCAAGTTTGGAAAGCGTACCCCTGGTTTAAGACTAGTGGTTCCTCCCTGTTAACATCTCACTGGGTCTTGGTCTTTTGTCTCCCAGTTTTCCAAGAAAAAGTTTTTAAATGCTTGTTTAAGTAATTAAATTTTTTCCTTGCCCACATTTTGACAATTTCCAAGAAGTGAGCAGAATATGATTTTAAATTAACATAAAACTACAATGAACACAGGAATTAATTTTGGCAATCTACCAACTGGTTTTTGCTAATTGGACTTTTATTTTTTTTTATTTTATTTTACCTTTTAATTAGTTGGCTCACCATTAAGTGTTTTGGCATTATATTCCCTCTAAACTTCATTAAAGAAGATGAAATGTAAAGATAATAAGATACTGGAAAGGTGTCCAGTCTTTCCTTAAAAGGAAAGACAGCT